TCCTCACTTTCACTAGACTTCTGGTTTTCTTTGTTAGCACTGGGCTCCCTCTATGGTGTTAAGGTATTATTCCATTTCCTCTGTACCTAATTTGATGAGGGTTGTTTGCTATCTGTTTTTTGAGACAGGGTTTCTCTGTGTAACAGTCCTGGATGTCCTAGAACTCACTCTGTATACAAGGCTGTCCTCGAACTCACAGAGATTGTCTGTTTCTGCCTCCTGAATGTTCAGATTAAAGGTGTGTACCACCACTACTGGCTGTTTTGGTTTGGGTTTTTGTTTGTTTGTTTGTTTGTTTTAATCTTAAAGGAATATTTCTGATGCTTTTTCTACATATAATAAGGCAACTATGTGCACTTGTCCTTCAATTCTTTGATGTTATATAGAATGTTTATTGGTTTATATATGTCAAACCATTCTTCCATCCTAGAGATTTTATCATAGTGGATTATGGATTTGTCACACTGTTAAATTCCATTGTTAATATTTTATTGGGGATTTTTGCATCTGTTCATCAAGAATATTGATTGGCATATAATTTTCTTTTCTTATAATATCTTTGTCAATATTCTGTGTGTTAGTGGATGTGTTAAACTTTCTTGAAGGAAGGGAAAAAGACAACAACAGGGAAGGAAGAGAGGGGAAGGAAGAGATGGGGGAAACTAAAAAGAACAGGATATTCTGAGCATTTTATGTTCAACCTGAGTTGGCAGTGTCATTTTCCTTTGAAAGCTCTGAAAGTATGTGGATAAGTAAGAAAATACTTAGTGAGAAGTTGCTATGAAAACAGTACAATTTTATTGTCAAAGTACAAGTAATATCCATTGCTAGAAGACTTGACTGTAAAATTCTCTTTAAACCTTACTTTTGTGTGTGTGGTTTTTGGCAAGCTTTGCAGGCTCGGATGTTGTTCTAGGACAGAACATTTGGGAAGGGTAATGATATCAAGCAACATGTCAGAACTGTACATTGCATAATCTGGGACATTTCCATATAAGAAAGCACTAGGAGATTTCTTTTTTATGAAAGTATAATGTTAAGCAACAGTGACTTTTTTTTAAATGGGCTGATTCTAGACCACATTTGCTTCTTTCCCATGCTGTAGTTTTTCTGGTTTCCAACACTTCAATATGGAGGTCAGACTGACATGCTGTGTAGCACACGGCACAGACTTGTGAAAGATAGTAGTTTTGCTTTCTTTTTTAATTAAAAATTCATTAATGTTTTATGTCTTAGTATTCATTTTATTTTCTAAGATTTTCATCTTGAAATTGAACTTAGAAAATATTGCAAAATTTGTACAAATAATTTTCATTCACGTTTTACCCAGATTCTATAAGTATTAAAATTTAACCACTTTTTTATCATTATGTCTAGCTCTCATTTTGAAATGTTTGATGAAACAAAAAATGTACCCAAAAAACAGGGAGTCCATTTTGTACTGGTCAACTGCTCCTGGGCATGGGCCCTGCCCCAGAGTACTGTTTATATACCTAGTGACAGTCCATTGGATAAAATTGATTTTCCCTTCCCCAACAGGCATCAATCGCAGATAGCTTCTTGATTAGGAATGGAACTGCATGTATCCATTTTGCCTTCTCTGTGTTGGGATTTTGTCTGGGTAGAATGTATGCTGCATCAGTTGTTGTGTCTGGAAGGCATTTATGAACATAGTACACATGAAGAAGACCAGTATACATAAAGTTACACATGAAGAAGGCTGGTATACATACAATTGCACATATAGAAAGCTAGTATACAGCACAGTTAAAAGTGTAGCAGGCCAGTATACATACAGTTACACACGTAGAAAGCTGGTATACAGCACAGTTACACATGAAGAAGGCTGGTATACATACAGTTACACACATACAAAGCTGGTATACAGCACAGTTACACATGAAGAAGGCTGGTATACATACAGTCACACACATAGAAAGCTGGTATTCAGCATAGTTAGCTACACATGAAGAAGGCTGGTACATAGGACTTGGTACACAGTATTTAGCTGTTTATAGTTGATGGTGGGCCAGTGGTTAATGAATGAGTGGATTGTTCAACATACTTCCAGTTTATTAATTTGGGGTTCAACATACTTTAAAGATGCCTACTACTCTCTTGATAACTTTATATACTTTGAGGTGTAGTTCTTTACATTGGTCTTAAAGAGTTAATGTAGGTATGTTACTTGATGTGTTCATTATTTTGTTGTTTGCCTTGTCTTAAAAAATACACATTTTCTTCTTTCAAACTTGTTATGTCTGCATGTGTATCTGTGCAGCATGTGCCTGCACTACAGAGGCCAGAAGAGGGCATCAGATCCATTGGAATTATATTTACAATTGTGAGACTGATGTATGCTGCATCAGTCGTGTCTGGAAGGCATTTATGAACATAGTACACATGAAGAAGACCTGGGAATTGAACCAGGATCCTCTGGAAGGGCAATCAGTGCTCTTAACCACTGAGTCATCTCTCCAACCCCTAAACTTGTTATGTTTTAGTGGCATATAATTTGCCACCAGTGAAATAATAGTCTGTATTATTCCTTTTATTATTTTATTTTTTTGTAATATAACATCAAAAGATTGTAGAACTTTACAGCTTTTTCTTTTTGTTGTTTTATTTTTTGGTTCTGTGTTTATACAACCAAAGATTATGGAGATCAAGTACCCAGTGTTCTAAAACTGCCTGTGACCATACTAGATCCAGTCTTCTGGGGTTCCTGAATCCCCTCCCTTATTCTCTTTGTCTTTCATGTTGTAATGTTATCACTCTAGAAGTGTATTTGTATACCTTCTGTCACCTTATTCTACCAAGGCAAGTTTCATGTGGTTGACTATTGGGCAAGTGTGTGTGTGGGGGGGGGTGGGTGTGGGTGTATTATTATATTTTGAGAATTTTTTGTCTGCTTTTTTGAAAGAGCACTTTTAGGTTCACAGTAAAGTTGAACAGAAAGTGTAGGGGATTCCCATATCCCCATATTCAGTCTTCTCTGCTGTCTGCATGCTGTTCCAGAGTGGGACATTTGATGCAGCTCATGAACCTGTGCTGGCACACATCAAAGACTGTATGTTTACATTAGGGTTAAGATGATTTGGATTTCGGCAAATGCATAATGGACAGTATTCATGATGATCATATGAGATAAAATAATTCCATTGTCCTAAAAATTCTTACTGCTTTGCCTTTTCAACATCGCCTTCACTACAATCTCTCACAACTGTGATCTTCATGTGGACTCTTTAATTTGCCCTTCCCAGAAGACCATCTGAGACCATAGTATATATACTTATGGATTAGTTTTCTTAGTAATATGCACTTGGGTTCTCCTGTAACTTTTCACAATAGCATATTTCTACCTAGCACCAAATATTCCATTGTGTGGATATACCCTAGCTTACATAGTTGCCTGTGGAAATACACCTCACTTGCTGCCAAGATTTTCCAAGTGTGAATAAAGGCACTATACACATGCATGTGCACAATTTCATATTTATGAAAGTTTTCAATGCCTTTGGGAAGATTTCAAAGAACATGATGAGTAGTTTTGTCAGAAACTGCCCTGTTGTTTCCTAAGTTGACTATGCTATTTTGGATTTTCTTCAACCAGAGTGAGAGTTCCTGTTGCTCTCTGTTCTCACTAGCATGTGGTGCCATCAGATGGATATTGATTATTCTAATAAGCCTGTAGTGATGTCTCGTTGTTTGCACTGTTGTAATGCCATACAGTGCAGAGTACCATGTTTGTACTCATTTGCCATCTGTATATGTCTTTCCTGAGGTGTTTGGGCAGATCTTTGCCCATCTTTACTCTGGTAGTTTGTTTTCTTGTTTATGCTCTTTTAAAAGTACCCCCTGTCCAGCCACCCCCATACTGTCTAGTGAAGACACAGAAAGCTTTGAGGATATAAAGGATAATTTGTTTTTTCAAAGGAAAACACCTCTCTTCTGTTTCTCTTCTTTTGCCTTTGTCTTTCAGTTATACCTGCCGCCACTTGCGGAGATATGTCTATGTGTTGGACAAACTCTATTTTCCCCACTCTCACTGCTCCACGCTTCAGCATTGCTTCTCGACCCTCAGTGACAATGGAGAGGAACTCTTGTCTTTAACTTGCTCTCACATTCTCAGGTCCTATGCGTCCAGGTTATTAACCTCTGCTGTCCATTTATTGCATGTTGCATGTTATGTGCCCCAATAGTTGCATGCTTTAATATGGGCTATTAACTGATAAAGCTGAAATTTTATATTTAAAATGCTACCAAGTAATCTTGTGGTGGCTTCCATTTGTTTTCTTATAAATGTCTACTTGAGAACTTTGTTTTCCTGGGCAAGGAAGAGGCTTTGACCAACACAGACATGGTGTATATTCTGTATTCCATTGCCTTCTAGATCTTTCTTTAACTTGGAGTTGTTGGGGTGCTCTCTGCTTTGTGTCTGAGCTGGGATCAGCTGCAGGTGCTTTGGGTTAGAAAGGAGTTCTCTTTCTTGGTATGCAAGCACCCCTGAAAGCTCGATACAGGGCTCCACTCTGTTCTTATGGGTGTGTTCCATTGAGCAGTTTTGACTCTGTAGAATGGTAGAAATGATTCATTTGGACTTTATGTTTATTATTCATTTACTAAAGAGAAATTAAAAAGCCAAGCCGCACTGGGTTTTGGACAAGTATAGATTAAACATAATGATGTTAGATGTATAAAGAAACAAGTTGAAATCTCACATGTCAGTGAAAACCAACACCTGCTGTTTACTGTGTATCATGTACCAATATAGAGGGCAGTATGACATATCTCTTTTAACACACATTTCCTGTAAGTCAGGGATGCCTGTGCCTCTCTACTGTTAGCTGGAGAAGATGATTTAAGGCAGTGTCTTCACTGCCAAGTGTTTTAAAGGAGAAGAAAAAATTCCATGACAACCTTAAATCTAAAATGGAAAACATCTGAATTGCAATTAACCTTTGCAGATGAAGAAACATATAGAAACTTTGAACTGTATGTGATGTCTAAGTGAAAACACTTTATTAGGAAAGGAAAACCATGTGACTCCTGGTTGGCTGATTCTTGTAACAAATGTATGATACAGATGCTTTAGGGAGGGAAGTAAAAGCAAGAGAAAATAATAAAGTCTTTAATTTATAATATAGGAACATTTAAGACAGGGCAAGTGCAGTGATCAGTAGGCTGTGGTCATAGAATAACAAGTTCAGGACCAGACAGCTACATAGGGAGACACTATCTCCACAACAAAGAAAACAAATTTACCAAACTAAAAGCCACTGGCTTGGTAAGTGAACATAAGTTACCTGTATGATACTTGGGAGATTTGGAGACAGTCTGTCTGAATGGAGAATGGGGGAAGTTGCTGTTGGTCATTGAACCCTCTGAGTTCAGAATAATTGACCTTGCCCCTACTTACTAGTATGTCATTTGGCAGGGCTCTCCACAAAACTGATGGGAGAGAGAAAGACTAAGAAAGAGAGCATGGCGGCTCTGGGGCTGCAGTGGTCAGGATATCTGGAAGGAAGGTGGCTCTGGGACTGCAGTGGTCAGGATATCTGGAAGGAAGGTGGCTCTGGGACTGCAGTGGTCAGGATATCTGGAAGGAAGGTGGGTGGCAAACAGGCTGGCAATTGAGGTAGGCACTGATGTTGTAGTCCTGAGTTCCAAATATACAGGTAGGTTCCTTGTGGTCTAGAAGCAGGGCTTCTTCTCTTTGGGGACCTAATGAGTGACTGGATGAGTCTTACTTATAGACAGTAAATGACTTTCTGGAAGACTGCAGATCTTAAGTGCCCTTCACAGCATCATCTAGTGTTTAAATAAACATGGCGCCACCCCTTAGCCAAGCTGAACGTAAGTAACCATCATGATACATTCTGTTTTTCTTTTTGTGTGCTGTATCTGTTCTGTCACACTACAGGCCCCCTGCAGGGAACAGTTGATCTTATGCATCATTATCCATCCTCTAGTTTATCACACCTGGCACATTGCTAATCCTCATTCATATCATTGGTGGCAGTGTCTTCCCTCTGCCATTTGTGGCAGACGCCATTTTGTACTTGCCTTTCAGTTACATCTCCTGACCTGCTGGAGCAGACAGGAAAAATATACAATCAGCTGAGAATATAAAAGAAAGCGAAGGAGAAAACCTCAAGGAAGATAATGTGTGTGTGTGTGTGTGGGGGGGGTGACAGTAAAGAACAAAGTGAGTGGCCAGAGAAGGGAGAGTCGCCACAGAGGAAAATCTGACTCCTCAGCCTGAGCCTCAAGTTCATTCTGTGCTCCATGTCTAATTTAGAAAGGAATTCTACGTGCTTGCCATTCCCTCCCTCAGCACCTTTAGTCTGCTGACTCCTCCCGCTCTCCATACCTTACCTACTCCGAGTCCTTTCTCCTCTGGCAAGGTTTAAGATGTTAAGCATCTAAAGGATATCTTGATTTCCATACAGAACCTTCCTCAGGCTGGTGTAGCCTTATTGTGTATCTGTAATAAACTGCCATGCCTGGCCAGCTAAGGTTGGTACTTGAGGAAGTACTGCAGGGCCAGAAAGCTTTCTAGTGTTTTAAAATATGTTTTGACTGTTCTCCAACAGTTTTCATCTTCTTGTCTTATTCCAGGACTGTTTACCAGATGTGCTGCTCAGGGCCTGTATCTGCCAGGCCCTGCCAGTATTAGCACAATGTGATGGCTAGGGACATGGACTCTGCAGTTAAGACCTCTTCTTCCCACCAACTCTCAGCCTCAGCTGGGCAAACCTTTCTGTCCCTCTGGCCAGTTTCCAAACAACCACACTGAGACTTACTAGTTATAAATGCTCAGCCATTAGCTCAGGTTTGTTACTAGTTAACTCTTACATTTCAAATTGATCCATATTTCTTATTTATGCTCTGCTTGGTACCTTTTTTCAGTACAGCAAGTTCATCTCTTCTCCATGTCTTCTTGAGATTCTGAGACTCCTCCCCTTCCTCTTCGTGCTCTCTTTTTGTCTGCAAGTCCCATCTAACCTCTTCCTGCCCAGCTATTGGCCATTCATCTTTTTTATTAAACCAATCACACTGACATATTCACACAGTGTAAAGGAATATTCCATACTCAGCCCCACCCCTGCAATATAGAATAGTGCTTAGGAGACTGCTCCATTCAGAGAGACTTGAGAGTGAGCATACACGTGTAAGAGAAGGTTCTGGTCACCATGTCATGCTGTGCTGATTCGCAAGTGACTGACATCCTGGATCTGCAATGACACACCATCAAGTATGGTTTAGTCCTAGTAGTAAAGAGGTTCTTCAACAGAACAGCATTTAACATAGGACAGACCATCCACAATCTGAATAGAGTAGTTCCAGACACTCGCAGAACCACATGGTTTTGCATTATGCAGAGTGCTTACCGTGTAACCCAATTTCTAGAGAGCAGTGTAAGCATGTGTGATCAGAAGGAAGTCAGTTGACTCAGTCTAGGAAGCCACCGCTGTAATGACTGATAAGAAGATCAGTCATTTCAGTGCAGTTCCTTCCCAGTGTCAGAGCTCTTCCTATGATTCAGCTGGGGCTCCTGGGCTCCTCCCTCATGAGGAGGGAGAGTTCTGCTTCTGGGTCTACAAAGATGCTAAGCCTACCTGCCAGTGCTTCCCGCTGGTTCCTACTCTGTGCTTGAAACACAAATGTCTGACAAGAAGCATGGTTTACACGCTTTAGGGGCTTCAAAATCACGTCATGACTCTCGGTTTTCCGCTCTTAAATACCTCTGACACTAATCATTTCTTAGGCAGTCTGTATTTGACAGCACTCATCGTAGAACTTGGTATCCAGGATTTAATTGAATATTTCAGTTGAACTTTGGCCTTTATTTATATACTTGTACTTTCTCCTCATAGTACAATTTTTGAAAATAAGAATGCTTTGGTTTATATAAAATTCTGAGACTACTTCCATGAAAACATATCTCCCTGAATAAGTACATTTGTTTGATTGGAGTTGCAGGGCCTTGTATTTATCCTTATTTAATGTGGGGTGACGGCCTCTTTTAAGAGGAGGGCTTACCTCCTAGAACTCCGTGCCTCACACACCTGGAGGCTCCTCTACTCCCACCCCAGGAGCCTTTGGATCACTTCTCAAGCTCCCAGTCTTAGATTCATTTCTGTTGAAACCAGGTTTAGAAATTTTAGTAATTGAGGATTTGAATGCATTGCTAGTAACTGTACAAAGTTAAGTAAGTTCTCTGTGGAGTGGCAAATTCTATGAGAAAACTGTGAAGAGACCTATTTTCCTTTCTTTTAAAAACTGGCTTTAGGATATTTAGTGTGTGTACGTGTGTGTGTGTGTGTGTGTGTGTGTGTGTGTGTGTGTGTGTGTGTAATGCTAAATATATAGTTGTTTAGTATTGTTTCAGTTGAGACAGAAGCCATGAAAAATCAAAGGTGTTATGTTGAGATACTTTGTTGCAAGGACACAATTTATTTTTATCTACTGTTAAGTTTTTTTTATGCTTGATGCTAGGATGTTGAGAAAAAAACATGAATGCTAAAAATAATTTCTTCTGTCACATTTACTTTTAAATATTAAATTCCCATTAAGCATGTTAAGTAGGTTAGCATTGAATTCTGCCTTTGGGTAGTTAGTACTTGGATGTATGCAGTGATCATGATGTTCTGGGGGTCATTGAACTTCCTAGAATGTCTCAAAATCATGGACCTTCTATCCATAAGACAGAAAAATATTGCCTATAAATATAGATTTTTCATGGAGCTTATGCAGTTTTTAAAAAATGTATAGAGCTGGAAAACAGCCCACATCCATAACAATTATTAGACAAGACATTAGCATGTGCTGATTTTAAGGGTGTCTCATATCCATTTGACCAGAAGTTGATCAAAGGAATGGCCAACCTGCATGGACAGCAGAGTGCCCATGTGCCGTGGGTAGAAAGAAGAGGCAGTTATGGGGCTCCTAGTCGTCCCCCCACCACACTATTGGAAGATAAAATAACAGACACTTACCTCAGCCATCACTGCATTCCTAGTCCTACACTAGGCAGCAACAGAGCTTCCTTCAAAGACAGAAGCATTGGTGAAAAGCCTGCTCTGTAGTGTTGCTTCAGTGGGAAGCAGTGATATGTAAGCAGGAGATGCCTTCTGATGGGACTGAGAAATGTCCCCAGACTCGTGGATTTTAAGTAGGAATTTCAAGCCTCGCTTGAAAAACAGGTATGGAGAACTCAAGCTTCAGAGGCCACACACGGGAGGGAACACTCGATGTGTTCTGGGGCAGGACGTTGGCCAGACAGATTTACATGTGAGATTGCTCAGTATCTTTGTTGTTTTCCAGGAGACAGTGTCTCTCCTCTGACTCACAATGAAGCCAGATCAGCTTTGGTCCTCCTGTCTCAGCCTCCCAAATACTAAGATTTGCAGGTGAGGGCCTCTATGCCCTGATGAGGGACATACATTGCATCTAGGACCAGACACCTAACAGCCTTTAGTGATAGGCCATGGTATTTCATATGTATATCTCTGTTTTCTTTTACTTGGGGTAATTTTTATTTGTAAGCAGTTGAGTTTTACTTGGTGGTTTTGGTCAAAATTCATTCCTTCTAGGGATTGTTGTACATTTAAAAGACTTTTAGAAGAAAGATTCTGAGTTCCAGCAGTATGCCACCACTGAGACTATAGCAGAGAGGTGAAAAACAATCAAAGTGAATTATTAAAAAAATACAATGTGGTGAGCTGTATCATAGGGTACAGGATGAATTCTTTGTCCTGTGGCTGAGTTTAGAATGTGTATGTATTTGCTTTTTTTAAAAAAGTCTGAATTGATTTATAATTCTAACTAAGCACAACATTATTTAAAGTATAGCACTCTCGAATTGAAAAGGGTTGGTTTTGTTTTTGTTTGCCCATTTGGTGTTTTTTTTAAAACTTGGTCTTAAAAAAAAGTCACATCTGGTGCTTTTTCTTTTTCTTTCAAAAGACTGCAACTTCATCCGAAATTTGAGACAGTTTCTAAAAGAAGTTTCCTCAAAAGAGTTTTGTAAAATTGCTAGGCTAGTCTTGTCATAGTATACCACTGACAAAATCTGTAATGTATAAATATTTGAAGCCATAGTAATAATTTTTCATGCATCTGATACTGTCTTAATAATTCTGTTGTGGCTGTATGCTTTATTGATTTCTATGCCACTTTTGTGGCATGAAATGAAATGTATTATCCCACTTAAACCATTATGGTTTCCTTTTGAATTACATACTCAGTACTTGATCTTGTCATCAAGCTTCTTCCGTGCTCTGGGATGTGGTGTTCCGTCCTGGAGATTTACTGCTTTGTACTCTGTGTGATATAAATCGATATAGAACAAGTAAATCCAGACTAGAAAAGCTGGAAACAAAAGACAATTAAGCAGTTAATTTTTAGGAATTATTCTAACATAGTTGGTAATCTGCTTGAGTTTTCTTTGTCTCGAGAGTGCTAGCTAGGAGAGATGGGTGCTCTGAAGACAGAGAGCAGACTCCGAGACACTTGACTGCATCAGTACTGGGTGTCACTGCTCCATCCAGAGCTCTGGCTCACCCCAGCCTCTTTGCTTGACTTCTCTAAAAGCATGTTCCTAGCTTGTGTTCCACCCTTGCTTGCCATTTCTTTTTAAGGCTTTTTGTTCTAAATATTAGAATTCCTTAAGGTTTGCTCTTAAGGCTCCCCTCATCCCTATTTCCAAAAGACTGTGGTGTTGTTCTGTTTGAGATAGTGTCTCCTGTATCTCAGGCTGACCTCAAACTCACTGTGTAGCTAAGGATGAGCCTGAACTTCTGATTCTTCTGCCTCTACTTCATGAGTGCTGGGTCTGTTTATCTAGGGCTAGAGACTGAATCCAGAGCTTCTCCAGTGATAGGTAAGTGCTCTACCAACTGAGTTATATAAGCCCCAATCTCTTAAGGGCAAGGTAGGAGTGTGTGTGTGTGTCCTTAGGTGATGGGGGTTGAACTTGGGGTCTTGCGTATACTAGACAAGTGCTCTGCCACTATATTGCTAACCTATACCCATAAGTGTGTGTTTTAATCACTGATCCCAAACACCTAATGTGCTAGATAGTTGACCACTCAATAGATGTTTTGTATTTGCTGAGAATGAACAATTTTAGGTTACTGAAATTAACATTTGTAGACTTGCTTAGCTTTCTAATCACTACTTCCTCAAAGATTATCTTGTCTAGTTATGAAAAGGTAGCTGTCCTATTACATCACTGTGATATCATCAGGGTACCACTCAGAACCAGTAGATAATGAATGAGGGAATCTAGTTAGAGTTCTCTGTCTGTCTGTCTGTCTGTCTGTCTGTCTGTCTGTCTGTCTCTCTGTGTGTGTCTCTCCCACCCCCACCCCCTCTGTGTGTATGCACATGCCTTTTCCACACACACACACATGCAGAGACCCGAGTAGGACTGGTGTCTTCTGTTGCTTTCCTTCTCCTTTAGGCTGGCTCTCTCACTGAACCTGAAACCTCATGTTTTAGCTAGGCTGGATGGCCAGGGAGATCGCTGAGTCAGACTGTCTCTGCCTCCAGTTCGAGAGGTACAGGTGGGCTCAGCGACACCTGACTCTCCTTTTATTTTTTTTTATTTTTAAAATGCAATTGCTGGAATTTCAAACTCAGATCCATATGCTGCATAACAGTCACTCTTACCCACTAAGCCATCTCTTCAGGTCCTTATTTTTTAAGTCAAAATTATCTAATAGAAAAACAAAGTTTACACTGTGCCTGATTAGAAATGTTTAGAAAAACATCTTCCTTACAAGACTGGTAGATTTAATGAATACCAGTATTTCAACTTTGCTCAGCATAATGTTATAACAGTCCATCCTGGTGATCTTAAAAAACCACCAACAAAAGACACTCAGCTGTACTATACATATACAGTTGATCATCCAAAGGGAAAAAATTGGATTTAAGTTAATTGTTAAAGTATAGTAAAGGATACCTGTTAATGATGTATATCTTTACACCATGGAAAGGATGTCCTGATAATTAGGACCTGAGGGAACAAAGTCAGGAAGGGAAGGTACGGGATTTCCATTTGCTTCTAAAAGGTAGTGCTCTATGTTTAGCACCACGTGCTCCTTAGGCGAGGTCTTCTTGGGTAAGGGGACACTGTAGCCATAGTTGATATGTTCTGTGCATGTGTAGGTGTAGCCGGAGTTCTGGAACACTTTATGCAATTTAGACCATTGGAGTGGATACAAATTCCCATGTCGGATGCTCTTTCCCTGCAGCTGCCATTTGTAAGGAATTTCATGTGCACATTCAGACATGCAGACTTGCACAACTGCTTATTAGAGAAATATTCTTGGTTACTGAATGTCTCACAGAGTCAAACATACGGGTTTCCCATATATGGAAGAAAAGTAATTCCACCCACTTGCCATGCCTTGGCATGTCATGATGCCAGCCCTTCACATTTATTTGACTTCCCGAGCTTACATAGACGGTGATGTAAATCAGCAGTTAATGCCTCACCTACCAGCTCTTGGTGACTAAACCACCATACCAAAGGAGGAAGAGAAATAAATCCACTTCAGTTTGGCTGCAGAGTGGATATTGTGTCCGGTCTAATCCCAGCCCTCTGAGTTATGGTTACAAGATTATTATTTCTGTGCTACAGAAGACAAGAAAGCAGAAGGAATAGGGGAAGTTAGATGGCTTGGCAATGATCAGAAAGCTGGACTTAGAATCCAATTCTTCCCACCCCTTCTTTCCTCTCTCCCTCCGTTTCCCTCCCCCTCCCTCTCTCTCTCATCCCCAGTCTGAGCAGTTTCATCTTACTGACTGCCACAGCATTATAAAGAAGTGTCTCACTGCACATGTTCTTAGTGAATTCTCAGTAGGTAGCTTCTTCCATTTTCAGTATCTTGAGCTTGGTGTAGTGGTGCACACCTTTGATCCCAGCACTCTGAAACAGAGGCAGGTGAATCTCTGTGAGTTCAAGGCTAGTTTAGTCTACATAGTTCCAGGCCAGCTGAAACTACGTGGTGAGACCCTGTCTCAAAAAACAAAACCAAAAGGTCATTTTTTGAGATGCAGATTTTTCATTTGTTTCATTTATCACTGCTTCCTCTTTGAGCTGAAATACAGAGTGATGTGGGCATGTGTACTCTCAGCTGGATCTTAACCTAGAAGGCACTTGTTTATCACAAAACAGCTGTTTATAAGAGCTAGTTCATTAAAAATTAATTTTAAATAAACCCTAGGTGTACCGTGTAAATTTAAGGGCAACACACGATCCAGTGTATCTGTGTGCAATGCCCCCTTGTCTAGCATTGGTAATAGTTGATATTTCTTGATCTCTGTAACAAATACAATTCCAACTATTAAGTTTATGTTTGCTTTAGTCTTCAAATTAACTCTGTTACCTTATAATTCCTGTGTGTAAGGCACAGATACACAGAGTGATTATAGAACTTGCCATAAATGGAAAAGTTGCTTTTGGAACGCAAATACTCTGGCTCCAAAAACTGGATTTCCAGCATTGTCCTGTGCTTTTCTTAAAGAGTGTGGATCAATGAAGTAAAACCCTGTGTTACCACTTAGGCCTACCCTAAAGCCACTTTAAAAATTGACTTATTGTACCTTTTCAGCTACATTGTATCTAAATGTGAATTCACCTTCTGTACCCACTTACAGATTTCTTTGGAGATAGATACTCTGTAAACTGGGACTTTTGAATCTGAATGTAGACTGCAAACAGGAAACAATGCTAGCTTTCTTTTTTTTTTTTTTTTTTTTTTTTTTTTGGTTTTTCGAGACAGAGTTTCTCTGTATTGTTTTGGAAGCTGTCCTGGAACTCACTCTGTAGACCAGGCTGGCCTCGAACTCACAGAGATCCACCTGCCTCTGCCTCCCGAGTGCTGGGATTAAAGGCGTGTGCCACCAACGCCTGGCGCCAGCTTGCTCTTTAAGCTGCTGTGTAGCATCCTAGAGAGGTCTGCTCTGTCAAGATGCCTCCTGCAGTTGTCTGCTTCCACACCTTATATAGTTCTGTAGACTAGTAGCCTGGGGGCCAAGCTTGCTCTTCATTTTTGGTGGAGGTTTGGATTATTTTGGCCCTTAAAGTAATAGAGTGAATGGATATAAGATACCCATGTTCTCTGCCCCCTCCCCTTTACTTCCTCCATATTCCATAGTTGTTTTCCCTGCTAGCATTGACTTTTTGTTTGGGGTTGGTGATTCCTGTCCCAGTCCCTGTCCCCATACTGTGCTGGGATTGAAACCAGAGCCTCACACATGTTAGGAATTGGCTCTACCACTGCACACCATCACCAACCATCCAGGTGTTCTTAGTCAGATTTTATAAGACAGGTGTTGATTGAGACTTCCAAGATAACATGGAAGATAAGTTTTTACCTACTACGGGAGGAAAAAGCAGAGCAGTTAGCAACTGAGCATGATTTGGAATGGTGACTGACCTCCGTCTAGCTTCCTTGTTACTCCTGTTTAATGACTGAATAACTGTGCCATCCCCTACTGTGAGTGAACAGGCAGAAGTGGCTTTCCTGGGGGATTTTGTGGTATCTTCATGACCCCTGAACATATATTTTTATGAAAATAGCACTTAGATAGACTTAAAGGTATTTACATCAATTTATTCTTGATGCACTTCATGCTGGTCATATACCTTCTTATTTACATGTGTTTTCAAGTAGTGTATCCTAAAAACAAAAAGGAAATTTGAGCCTCACTCTATCCCTTCTTGGAGATAGTAGGTGCTCAAGGCATGGTCTGCATCCTAGCATTCAGTGGTCATAGCATCGAGAATCTGGGTGGAGAGCAGTTCATGCCTTGCTTATGTGGTCCCAAAGGTTTCATGTAATCTCCTTCAGTTCAAACATCTCAGATCATTTTTAGAGGGTAATACTGAAGCTAATAATACTTAGTGACTTTTCTGTAAAATGTTAAAAAGTAAAAGAAAGATTGGTAAATTAACCTCAAATCTGAATAAAAAGCTAAAGAAAAATATGTTTCTAGGTATTCAGTTTTTAAAAAAAGCTTGTCTGGCAAGGGCTTACCATAGTTCCAGCTAATTGTACCAGAGCTTCTGGTCTTTCTCTTGGGCTAGTCAGAGATGATCGCTGTGGATTAAATGCTTGTCACTGTAGCACAGGGCCGTCATCTCTTCCGCGGTGTTTGCTGTCCTCTCATCTTACCGACACCGCGCTCCTGCATCATGCAGGCTGTGCATGCAGCGTGTTATGACTGTCTCGTTTGAAGAAAAGAATTCCCATCTTCCTTAGCTTTAAAATAGTCCTTCTGAAGAGACACTGTCAAATTCTGTGCCTGGCATCAAGCAGCAAATTCAAGAGGTGCCTGGGCTACCAAGTTTTACGTAACAGTTGGTGTGACTGTTGCAAGAATCTGCAGTGTTTCCCGTTGCCATGGTTGTTTAGAGAGGTTCTATTTCAACTCGCTGCTTCAGGCAGCAGCCCTTCCTCTTAGGAATGTAACACCGAGAACAACAAGCTGTGTGCACATTGGCTCTGTGCACATGAAGAACACGTGCTTTCCCCGAAGGTGCTCCACTCTTACTTTTTGTACAGTGTAAACCAAAAGGCCTTGGCTACCACATTCTAGCAAGGACTCCCCGTGACCTGTGCCCTTTGAGTTGTTTGGTCTTGGTTTCCGAATGCTATCCCTGCCCACATGGTAGTTGGCTATTATTTCTAGGCTTAGCTCATTGTTTCACAGGAAGTATAGTTACTTGGTTTTGTAATGTACTTTGCAGCAAGAGTATGAAAACACTGTTAGCTAATGCTTCTTCAGTGTTTCATCTATCATTTAGTTAGCACAGAATCTAAACTTATACACAGACACACACAAAAGCAGATGCAGCTGTACCCATAATTCCAAAAATGAAAAACAGAGACTTACTATGTACCCCCAGTTGCTCTGGGACTCACAATGGAGACTAAGCTGGCCTTGAACTCAAAAAGATCTCCCTGCCTTGTGGGATTATGCTGTGTGCTGCCATACCAGGCATGTGCCCATTCTTCTCAAGAGCAGACAAATCTTAAGGGCTCACTTGCCATCTCTGTGGTCTGCGTGTTATACTCCCTCCAGATATACATACCTCCTACACGGCACCATCTGACTTTGTGGACTAAAGGAGGCAGAACTGACTGGACCAGGCAGGACTCCCTGGATGGAGAACTTGTACATCTTGCCTCTTATGCATGTTTTCTTTATATGAGAACCACTCAGTACACCTTTCATTTGTGATTCCTCCTACAGTCAGAATGGTGGTAGTTTTGCTCTGTGATAGGGAGAGTGCTATCCCAAAGAGCAAGATGAACTCTTAAAGTGGTTGCTTATATTTAGAATGCTTTAGTGTATTTGTATTCCTGAAGTGAAATGTGTTGACGTACAAAAATCATCGCTTTTCATGTATCAGGATGTGCATATACTGGAGTAGTGTTCTTTGACTTCAAGAATGAAAAGGAATTAGTCTTTGCATTCAAGTAACCTTATTCATTTAGAATATATGGAAATGTGTCCCCAAAACCAAAGCCATAGAATTCACTTTCCCCACACATGTGGGTAATGGCTCTGTGTGTACTTTTCATGTCACCATTCTTAACCTTGTCATTCTCTGATGTAAGAAAAACTGGGTTGTCCTTCTTAATAATCCATGAGCATTTCTCCTGATGGCCTATATTTATAGGAATACAATTACTTCCCAGAAATATAATTATTTCTTAGTTTACTGCTATTAGTTTGTTTTTCTCAAACATCTAAAGAAAGTTTACTTTTCATTAGTTTCGATGTATTATTTCATTAAAAAGTCTCTTTTTGAAGTCTTCCCATTTCAGCTTTGGTTTTAAATTAATGTGTTTGTTTTAAACCATGATCTTCAAAAATTAATTATCTAGAATTGGTTACACTTTTTGCTTATTGTACAGTTACACTAAAAAACACAACAAGCAGGGCCTTGTTTCTAACATTCAGGAAGATGAGACAGAAAGATTACCACAAACATGAGGCCAGCCTGGTGTAGGTAGAGTTCTAGGCACATGCTACATAGCAAGACCCTGTCTCATCATGAAATAAAAATAAAGAATTTGCTTTAGCTCATTATACCAGAATGTGGTCCTTGGCCCAATGAGGTGGCTTCCCGTGTGCCATCTCGTTTTCTAGCTTTCCTCTGTGTGTGTATGTATCACTGTCCTGACTGCTGCTTTGAACTGAGAGCACAGAGCCGTTTTAGAATTGAGCAGGTGTCACCGGGCGTTGGTGGCCCATGCCTTTAATCCCAGTAATCAGGAGGCAGAGGCAGGCAGATCTCTGTCATTTGAGGCCAGCCTGATCTACCTAGCGAGTTCCAGCACAGCCTCCAAAACAATACAGAGAAACCTTGTTTTGGAAAAAAAAAATTGAGCAGGTGTAAGTGACAGGAGCAGGGTGGGGTAGAACTCTATTTCACCTAGTGTCCTGTGACACTGGGAGGGACTCCTTTTTCTGAGTACCATAGGTGACCACCTGCGTGTGCCGTCTCTGTCCTCTAGGCCCGTTTGAATTTCTGACTTTTACAAGCTCTCCCTGTAGATGAAAGTGGAGCTGGAAGCCTGCTAGCTGTCAAGCTTCTGGGAAGTGACAGCCAGTTTGATATAAGACAGTAGGGTGAGGCATATCATAGTGAGTTAAAGTATTTCAAACACTCTTGGAAAAACTTCATATTTGAACCATAAAGAATTATAATGAAGGCTTCCGTTCATAAACAGGACATGTGGGGAAATGGGTGGTCCCACATAGGTTTCTGGCGTGCTTTTAAACAGCGATTAGAAGACAGACAGTTGGAGGATTAGTAAGTTTGTTCCAAACATAGGAGTGGCTTGAAAGAAAATACAGGCAAGAGTGGGTGAGAGAGACAAAGGGTTCATTTAAGAGGAAAGGATAGGGAATGGGAAGAGATGTGATCAAACATAGGGATTAGAAATCAAGAGAAAGTTGTGATTCAAATATTTTAAATATTGAGAGCCAGCACACTGAGGTGTGGTGAATGGCCTGTCCCCAAGAAAGAATAATGACAGTTTAGTAAGTTTCACTGTTTAATAAGAAAGACTATGGGAGAACAAATATGGTAATGGTTAAATAAATAGTTGATCGTGTAATTTATCATCCATTCCAAGTCTCTATAAGAGAATGAAGTGAGGTGAAGACAAGATATATCCATGTGACTGTCCTAGGTAGATCAAGACATGTAGCTTCCCCATTATCCGAATTACTTGTACTTCATTAATAAAGTACAAAGATAAGAAAAAATAAAGTCTTTAGTATTGAGAGTAATACATTGTGCTGAGGGTATAACTCTGTGGTATTGGAATGCTTGGTGGTGTGCACAAGAACCTAGTCTAATCCTAAAACAATGCAAAGACCAAAGCAAAATAAAACCACAGACGTAAGTATTATCACTCGATCAGCACTGTGGGAATTGTCACTGGAGTTGATGGACATGGTGCTTAGATGTCAAGTCAGGTCACCAGGCTTGAGTTCTAGTTTCATCACTGAAGCTGGTGATCTTTAGCAAGTAAGATGGTGTTCTAGTTTCATTTCTGGGACTGATAAAAATACCCCGATGAACAAAAGCAAGTCAGGGGAGGAAAGTGTTTAGTTGACTTTCAACTCCAAGTCTATTTAGCAGACCCAAATACTAGCCTGTTACTGCAAGGAAGTCAAGGCAAGGACTCAAGCAGCTAGTCACATCACCACATCCAGAGTCCAGAACAGAGAGGAGAGAATGCTTGCTGTTTATGCCAGCAGCCTTTCTTTATTCTTACACAATTCACGGCCCAACCTGGGGAATAGTGTAACCCACAGTGGACTAGGTTAATCGACAAACAAGGCAGTCCCGTACAGACATACCCATAGGCAAATACGATCTAGATAATTCCTCAATTGAGACTTTTCCTGGCGATTCTGTGTTGTGGCAAGTTTATATTTAAAACTACCACATATGAGGACAGCAGGGAAGCCACCCTTCCTGGGCTTCAGGTCAGGTATGTAAGAGGTAACTCGTGCAAAATACCTGTTAAAAGTCAAGCACCTAAATGCTAACCATGGTTTTCTCTGTTACTATAATACTGAATATTATTTACACACTGGTAGCTAATACAGCTTATTTCACACCTGGTACCATCTAGACCATTCTCACTTCTCAAAGGTAGACAGGTTTTCACAGTCATAACAAACAATGGAAATAACTCTCACCTTGTGTCCAGGTAATTCCTTAGTATATCGTCACTAGCATTGCATTGTTTTCAAACCCAGTTTCTATTCTGCACCAGATGAATCCCTTAGTCACTGTGACAGCTCAATAAGTTAACTTTTTGATTTTATGTTCTAAATAAATACAAAACTTTTGTTAGCTAGGAAAGGGTATTCTTGGCATATAAAAATGGGGAAATGATTTATATCTTTTAAGTGATAGTCTAAAGAGATTTGTGATGTTATCAGTAGTTGCATGTGAGCATGTCATTCTTTGGCCATTAATATCTTTTGTTCCTTTTTCCTGAAATGCCCCACCCTTTAAAGTCAGTACACTGAACACCCCATCTTCTTCCGGTCTTTGCCAAATGGCACCTGCTCAGTGAAGCCTTTGCTCACCGTGTCGTGAGAACCAGACCTTCTTCCTGGTACTTCTCATCTCTCCTTGGCTTTGTTTTCACAATTTCGCAGATAGTGGTTAGTTCAGAAACACTGTGGTAGTTGTCTACAACTCCGAGATAGATACTGCTGATGATACTGTCAAAGCCCACCCCAGTGACATACTTCTTCCTGCAGAGCTGCACTTTCTGAACCTCCCTAATCAGCGCCATCACCTGGGGACAAGTGTCCATACATCCAAACCTATGAGTGACGCTCCTCACTTAAAACCACCACGGACAACACCACCCACATTGTGTGACTTAACAGTGGCTACTTCTGTGAGCACAGTAACACTCAGGGGTTGAGACTTCAGAATATGGAATCAGGCAGAAGTGTCCATGTTTCAAATTGTGCATCCCAGATTGTATCTGAGTTTAATTCAAATAAATAGCCACTAGCCACTTTTAGTGGTGATATTCAAAGCATGGGCGCCAAGGAGGTGAAATAAATCATGCCATACTAAAGAACTCTGTATCCTAGTGATGAAGATAAGCAATACTAAGATGTGAAATACGTTTTTTTCTTTACCCAGATGTGAGGGATGTGTCAAAATGTACCAAGCAGATTTATTTAGGGTGTGAAACGACAGGCCAAGAAGTTAGCATGGTCGGTGTCATAGTGTTTTCAAGAAATGGCACAGACAGTGCATACATCATGTGGAATAAGCCTGAGAATGTCAGGCCTGAACCTG